ACCCTCTTTCTCTTTCTTCTTCTTTCCTTCTTCCCTCCTTGCCTGCCTCCTTTCTCTTTCTTTCGTTTTTCTTTCTCCCCCTCCTCTCCTCCACTCCCTCCTCCTTCCTTCCTTTATTCCTTACTTCCTCTCTCCTTTTCTCTCTCTTTCTTTCTTCCCTAATTGTGTCAAGTGCATCAATCTTAATTTTAAATATGCAGCTTGATGAATTTTTACATATGCATAAACTCCTGCAACCACTACCCAGATTAAGGAGCACATTTCCAGCATCCCAGAAAATTTTCTCATGCCTCTTGCTGGTCAGTATCTCCCCCAGAGGTAACCACTCTTCCCATAGCCTCTGTTATTGTCAATCAATTTTGTATGTTCTTGAATTTCATAAAAGTGGAAGTATGCAATATGAACTCTTAAGTGTCTGGCTGTCGCTTCTTAACCTAATGACTGAGATTCATTCAGGTTGCTATATATAACAGTATTTTTCCTTTTCATTGCTGTATAACATTCCATCGTGTGTTTTTTTTTGGGGGAGGCGGGGTTGTTTCCTGAAAACACCACAATTTGTTTATCCATCCTCTGTCTCATAGATATTTTGATTGTTTCCTAAGGGTCCACTAAATGAACACCCTTCTTGGCAAAGGGAACCCCAGAAAAACTTTAAAAACTTTGTTTCCAGCTATGATGGGACAGGAGGTCAGGCACACCACATTATACTCCCTTCCTTCCTTTTGTGATTTAGATACAAGAACTGATCAACATTAATGCTAAAATAGAGGGCTGGGTATGGTGGCTCACACCTGTAATCCCGGCACTCTGGGAGACTGAGGCAGGCAGATCACTTGAGGCCAAAAGTTCGAGACTAGCCTGGGCAACATGGTGAAACTTCGTCTCTACAAAAAAAAAATTTTAAAAATACAAAAATTAGCCAGGCACTATGGTGCATGTCTGTGGTCCCAGCTATTGGGGAGGCTGAGGTGAGAGGATCGCTTGAGCCCAGGAAGCAGAGGCTGCAGTGAGTCATGATCGTTCCATTGCACTCCAGCATGGGTGATAGAGTGAGACTGTGTCTCAAAACAAACAATCAAACAAACAAACAAAAAAGAACCATAAGACTGACAGAACAGACTTTTTGTGGTGATAAGATATCAAATTATAAACACAGCCTAAGGCCACGTCAGGCAAGGGTTAAGTCAGGTGCCCCTACTCTTAAGGAATAAACTATGTTCTAATTATGTTACAGGATTTTTCTTTTTCTCTAGCTGCTAAACAAGCACTGACCTCAAGAGAAGCAATATTAAAACAGTTAAAACTCATCCGTCTCACAGACTCCCAAATGACACCCTGTTCCACCAGTCATAACTACAGCTTTGATTGAACAAGAGACTGATTTCAGTAACTTTCTCTTAATAAAAAGATCACTGACCATGGACTGCATCTGGTGGGGTTACAGAAACCGCACCCTCAGGTGCCTGCATTTCCTGAAAAGACCTTTTAATATGTAGGTTCTTTTATTTTTATTTTATTTTACTTTTTTTGAGATGGAGTCTCTCTCTGTCACCCAGGCTGGAGTGCAGTGGCGCGATCTCGGCTCACTGCAAGCTCCGCCTCCCGGGTTCACAACGTTCTCCTGCCTCAGCCTCCCGAGTAACTGGGACTACAGGCGCCCGCCACCACGCCCGGCTAATTTTTTGTATTTTTAGTAGAGATGGGATTTCACCATGTTGGCCAGGATGTTCTCGATCTCCTGACCTTGTGATCTGCCTGCCTCAGCCTCCCAAAGTGCTGGGATTACAGGCGTGAGCCACTGTACCCGGCCAGATGTGTAGGTTCTAATTGTAATACGTTGATTGATTGATTGATTGATTGATTGAGACAGGGTCTGACTCTGTTGCCCAGACTGGAGTGCAGTGGCACAATCACCACTCACTGCAACCCCTGCCTCCTGGGCTGAAGCAATCCTCCCACCTCAGCCTCCCAAGCAGCTGGGACTATAGGTGCACACAACTGCACCCAGCTACTTTTTGTATTTTTTGTAGAGACAGGGGTTTCGCCATGTTGCCCAAGCTGGTCTCAAACTCCTGGGCTCAAGCGATCCACCCACCTTGGACTCCAGAAGTGCTAGGATTATAGGCATGAGCCACCACGTCTGGCCTAATTGTAATACATTTAAATGTTAAGTCTCCGCCCCAAAGTGAACATGTATGGTATGTCACATGCATGTTTGTTCATACACGTGTTGGGGCCATCTTCACAAATATTCATAGTTTCTCCTGTAACCTGCCGATTATATCATTCAGCCAACCCCTTCGGCACAAAGCTCCTAACCCAACCCCTCCTCCTTCAAAGTGCCTGTCTCTGGTCTTGGAGGGAGGCATACTTCCCAGCCTGTGGGCTGCTCCTTGTAGGCTATAACCCCTTATAAGAAATAAATAAAGTCTCTTCTCCTCTCTGAATTTACACATCTGTGATTTTTTTGTTTGTTTGTTTTTGTTTTTGTTTTTGTTTTTTTTAGTTAACAGGGGCTATGAACATTCTTACAGAAGCCTTTTATCTTTTGATTGATGTATGTTTTCATTTATCTTGGGTATATACATAGACGTGGGCATGATAGATATTAGGATAGCCATCTTTAACTTCAGTGGATGCTGGAGCAAGTTTCTGAATTTTAGCCCTGAAGTGGGGATGATAATAACAGCACCTGCCTTATAGGGCTGTTTCAAGATTCAAAGAGAAAATCTGGGTAAGGCAGGGTGCGGTGGCTTATGCCTATAATCCCACCACTTTGGGAGGCTGAGGTGGGCAGATCATCTGAGGTCAGGAGTTCGAGACCAGCCTGGCCAACATGGTGAAAACCTGTCTCTACTAAAAATACAAAAATAATGGCTGATGTGGTGGCATGCACCTGTGGTCCCAGCTATTGGGGAGGCTGAGGTGAGAGGATCGCTTGAGCCCAGGAAGCAGAGGCTGCAGTGAGTCATGATCGTTCCATTGCACTCCACTGCACTCCAGCTTGGGCGACAGAGTGAGACTCTGTCTCAGAAAAAAAGAAAAAAGAAAATCTGGGTAAAGTATTTAGAATTGGTACACCAAAATTTATAAAACGTAAATTATTGCTGGGATGGCAGTGGGCAGCCTGAAGATATTGGGCTTTTGTGAATGTTGAAGTGCTCCCATGACGAATTAAACACACAGGGATCTTTATAAGGGTCACATGATATTTAAGTGATACTTGACTATTGTATTAAAATTCAAACTAGTTAGATATAAAATAAAAAGTGGGTTTCACCCCATCCATTTTTTATTATTGAAGAAAAAAAATATGTCAGAGTGTGGTGGCTTATGCCTATAATCCTAACCCTTTGGGTGACCGGGGTGGGATGATTGCTTGAGGCCAGGAGTTTGAGACCAGCTTGGGCAAAATAGCAAGACCCTGTCTTTACAAAAAATAAATATTTTGACTGGGTGTTATGGCATGAATCTGCAGTCCTGGCTAGGCCAAAGCAGAAGGATTGCTTGAGCCCAAGAGTTCAAGGCACCACTGCATTCTGGCCTGGGTGGTAGAATGAGATCCTGTCTCTCTCTCTCTCTTTTTTTTGAGACAGAGTCTCACTCTGTCGCCCAGGCTAGAGTGCAGTGGCTTGATCTTGGCTCACTGCAAACTCCGCCTCCCAGGTTCAAGTGATTCTCTTGCCTCAGCCTCCCGAGTAGCTGGGATTACAGACATGTGCCACCACGGCCACCTAATTTTTGTGTTTTTAGTAGAGACGGGATTTCACCAACCTGTTAGCCAGGCTGGTCTCAAACTCCTGACCTCAAGTGATCCATCCACCTCGGCCTCCCAAAGTGCTGGGATTACAGGCATGAGCCACTGCACCTGGCCTGACCCTGTCTCTTTTTTTTTCCTTTTTCTTTTTTCTTTTTTATAGACAGAGTATCGTTCTGTAGCCCAGGCTGCAATGTGCAGTGGTGCCATCTCGGCTCACTGCAACCTCCGCCCCCCGGGTTCATGCAATTCTCCTGCCTCAGCCTCCTGAGTAGCCGGGATTACAGGCACACCCCACCACTCCCAGCTGAGTTTTTATAATTTTAGTAGAGATGGGGTTTCGCCATGTTGGCCAGGCTGGTCTCAAACTCCTGATCTCAGGTGATCCACCCACCTTGTCCTCCCAAAGTGTCAGGATTACAGGTGTGAGCCACTGTGCCCGGCCGATCCTGTCACTTAAGAAAAAAGGAGAAAATACTAAGCAGTGAGTATTTTGCATGCATTTTCTTATTTCATCTTCGCCTTTTAATTTGATGATACTAAAGGAAAGTGTTAGAGGCCGGATTGCTAAAGCTGACCCAAAGAATGCCTCCCTCAGGGCTGGTTGATCCATCTCTCTCAGGCCTCAGTCTTCCCATCTGTACAGTGAGGTGCCCACAGATCTCTGGGCTCTAAAAATCACAGCTCCACGTCTATCCCTGGCAGAGGAAGGGCCTGGAGTCCTGCCGCTTGCGTCTCTGGGATACGGGAGCAAAGAGCCACGCATCCCCATGGCCCACACAGGCGTCACCTCCAGTCTCTCCTTGGCCTCATCTCCCCAGCGTCCTGGAATGGCATCGGGTTGGCCCAGGGAGCCCCTGTCCTGTGCCTCTCCTTTCCCCTCAGGGGCTGCCAGGGTGACCACCCCCTCTCTGCAGGCCAGGCCTCCAGTGCCGCAGGGAACGGCCCGACCCTCCCCCAGGGCGGCAGCAGGAAGAGGGAAGAAAGGGGATCCTCTCCAGCTGGCCAGAGCGACAGCCCTTCTTGTGCTCATCAACCCTCCAAGAATGCCCGTCCTCCCCCCCTCCCCCGAGGCCTGTCCACAGGAGCTTGAGATCAGCCAGAAAAGTCAGGCAACTTTTCAGGGACCGGGAGCAAGGTCTCCCGGCCGGGCCTGGGTCCAGTCTCTGCGGGCAGTGCAGTGCTGAGCCCCACCCCTCAAGCCGTGCCCTGTCCATCGCTCCAGACTTTGACCCTGCGCTCCAGTCCGGGCTGGCGGACAGAGGGCTGGAGACAAGACGCCCCAGAATCAGGAGCTTCCCCTCAGGAAATAGCATCCTGTGTCCCCGCACGGCAGTTATCTGGTCTCTCCAGCAGTTTGGTACTTCCGGTGAGTGGCAGATGCACCTTTGAGCTGGGGGCAGGGGTTGGGAGAGGGGAGAGGCAAAGGATTTCATGTCCTCCCAATGTCAAAGACAGGGCTCAACATTACAGCCTAAGGCAGGTGACAGGAAAGGAGAGATCCAGCCTCTCAAACATCAAACAGAGAGACCATAGGTAAGTGACTTTTCCCTCCCCAAGCCTCAGTTTCTTCATCTGGAACACTGGGATCATAACTCCCCTCTTAGAGGGTGAATCTGAGCATTAACAGAGGTGGTGCATGTAAAGTGCTTAGAACAGATGTAGGCAGGTAGCAAGGACTCAAATGATAGTTATTATTATTTTTGGTGGGAGAATTGTTAGCCTGGTTCTCAAACTTTTATAGCTTCTGTTCCATTTCAAGAATAAACTCTGCAAATAACTTCATAAGAAGTAGCCATGTGGTGCAACCAGGGAGAAGGAATTATGTTCATTCGAATGCCTCATCTCTGGCTTACTGATTTTTTTTTTTTTAAAAAACAAGTCTTTCATATTCTTTGCTGTGCATGTAACAATCAAAGGCATCAGCTGTCTCAGATTGCCTTCTAGGGGACAAGGGAGGTCCTAGGCAGATAAATGCAAGACTGAAAGACAAGCAGAAAGCGTCAGGTGGCAACTGCATGCCGACTGCCTAAATATTTTTTTAGAGCAACGCAGAAAGTGCTGATAGAACTGGGTCTGGATCCGAATGCTGTCCCATACTGACTGTGTAACCTTGGGTGGGTGACTTCTCCCTGAACCTCAGTCCCAGCCTCCAGAATGAGGGCAGTAACCTTCCCTACTTCCTACAGCAGTTGAGAGGATTAAGAGGATTACGTCTGTGCTGCATCTACATGTGTCTGGCAAGTGGCAGAGACCAAAATACGTTGGTTCTCTTCCTGTTCCATGCTTACACAGACATTCTAATCACACACACACACATACACATACACACAAATATAATAATCCAAGTTGTTTGCATCTTCTGGGATGCATACTCCAAGCTTGCTGGGTTGAAGTAATGGTGTAAAACAGAGGAGAATGGCAACGCTAATAAAAACATCAGCAACAACACGAAAATGTCCAACCGTGTAACTGAGCTGGGTGCGTTTAAGTCCAAAAGCTCATTACCTACACGCATGAATGATTTTACCTGAGGCTGGATCTGCCAGATCTCACAATGTGGCTCTGGCTTGTCGTGAGGACCTCATGCATTTATTTTGCACTTTAACACACACACACACACACACACACACACGTTGCAATAATCAGTGTCAACTTTGACTCATACAGTGAATTTTTTTTTTTTTTTTGAGATGGAGTCTCACTCTGTCGCCCAGGCTGGAGCGCAGTGGCCAGATCTCAGCTCACTGCAAGCTCCGCCTCTTGGGTTCACGCCATTCTCCTGCCTCAGCCTCCCGAGTAGCTGGGACTACAGGCGCCCGACCCCTCGCCCGGCTAGTTTTTTGTATTTTTTAGTAGAGACGGGATTTCACCGTGTTAGCCAGCATGGTCTCGATCTCCTGACCTTGTGATCCGCCCATCTCGGCCTCCCAAAGTGCTGGGATTACAGGCTTGAGCCACCGCGCCCGGCCCCATACAGTGAATTTTTAAAAAAAGATAATTGACTTTGGACTCACATTTTTTTCCTTTTAAATTCTTTTTTTTTTTAGACGGAGTTTTTTTGTTTTTTTTTTTTTTAGATGGAGTTTCACTCTCGTCTCCTGGGCTGGAGTGCAACGGCATGATTTCGGCCCACTGCAACCTCCTCCTCCCAGATTCAAAGGATTCTCCTGCCTTGGCCTCCTGAGTAGCTGGAATTTCAGGCATGTGCCACCAAGCCTGGCTAATTTTTTTGTATTTTTGTAGAGACAGGGTTTCGCCATGTTGGCCAGGCTGATCTTGAACTCCTGACCTCAAGTAATCTGCCAGCCTCAACCTCCCAAAGTGCTGGAATTAAAGGCGTGAGCCACCATGCCCAGCCTTTTTGATTTTCCATTCTATTCCCACCAACACTCTAAAAATTCCTACAGACATTTTATTTTATTTTGTCTTATATTATATTATATTTTTGAAATGCAGGACTCTGAAGCTTCGGTTGTTCCTCTTTACCTGCTTGATTCTCAGATTTTTCAAACCATGTGATTTACCAGCAAGCACGGCCTTTAAGCACATAGACTTATGAGCCAGGCTGGCCTGGGCTCTGCCTCTCGCTACCTGGATGTCCAGGAGCTGATATTCCAGTGAGGAGACAATAAGGCAAGGAACTTTGTCAGCTCTCATAAAAGTTTATAGATGAGGTTGGGCATAGTGGCTCACTCCTGTAATCCTAGCACTTTGAGAGTCTGAGGCCAGCAAATCACCTGAGGTCAGAAGTTTGAGACCAACCTGGCCAACATGGTGAAACCCCGTCTCTACTAAAAATACAAAAATTAGCCAGGCGTGTTGGCGCATGCCTATCATCCCAGCTACTCAGGAGGCTGAAGCAGGAGAATCACTTGAACCCGGGAGGCAGAGTCTGCAGCGAGCTGAGATTGTGCCATTGCACTCCAGCCTGGACGACGAGAGTGAAACTCTGTCTCAAAAAAAAAAAAAAAGTTTATAGATGAGGAAACTGAGATTCAATTAGGATTAACCAACCCATCTTGGTTTGCCTGAAACTCTGATGCACTGACTTTTAGTCTGAAAGGCTGCATCCTGGCAGGACCCTCAGTCCTGGGCAAGCTGCGGACGTTGGTCACCCTCACTCAGTCAAGTTGAGCAACCTGCCCAGGGTTACGTGGCTGGTGTGTGCCCAAGTCAGCCTGCGAACCTGGGTCTGTCTGACCCTCAGCCTGGGCCATAGTGTCTCTTGGATTCATCATGGAGAATCTGGAGAATGCAGAAAGCCCTTTATTCCTCTGCCTTCTCATTGTTAACGTATAAAAATGGTCAAGAGGGCAAGTGCAGTGGCTCACACCTGAAAGCCCAGCGCTTTGGGAGGCTGAGGTGGGAGGATCGCTGGAGCCCAGGAATTGGAGGTGGCAGTGAGCTATGATCGTGCCACTGCACTCCGGCCTGGGTGCCAGAGTGAGACCTTGTCTCTTAAAAAAAAAAAAAGAAAAAAAAAGCGGTCAGCTCTCTGGAAATTATGCAGAGACAGTCAAAAAGCCCAGAGAGGGAGAATTAACTTAGCCAAGGTCACACAGCAAGGCAGAAGTGAAGCCAGGTTTGACTCTGCCTTTCTCTTCTTCTTCTTTTTTTTTTCTGGAGAGAGTCTTGCTGTGTTGTCCAGACTGGAATGCAGTGGTGTGAACTTGACTCACTGCAACCTCTGCTGCCCGGGGTTCTTCAAGAGATTCTCCGCCTCAGCCTCCGGAGTAGCTGGGATTACAGGCGCCTGCCACTGCGCCCGGCTAATTTTTGTAGTTTTTAGTAGAGATGGGATTTCACCATCTTGGCCAGACTGGTCTTGAACTCCTGACCTCGTGATCCACCTGCCTTGGCCTCCCAAAGTACTGGGATTACAGGCGTGAGCCACTGAGCCTGGTTCTCCCTCTCTCCTTTTGTTCCTGAATGTTTTTGTTCTATGTGATTTTTCAAAGTTCTAGGAGACAGAAGGAGGCTGCTGTGTGTTGATGGCCTACTCTGTGCCAGGCATTGTACCGAGAACTTTTGCTAAACTTCTTATTTAACCATTAAAATGACCCTGTAAGATTGGGATTACCCCCTTTTTGCAGATGAGGAGATTGTGTCTCCAGAGGCAAAGTATTAGAGAAGAGGGAGGAGAGGAGGCCAAGAGTCCCTGAGAGGGGCTGTCTCCTAAGCCCCAGTATCCAAGCTAAGGCTCGAAGCTGGAAGAATTGCCTAGAGGAACGATACCTTTCTGTTTGTTGGTTCTATCTCCAACTTGGCTTCTGAAACCCCAACAGAGTCCAGTTCTTGTGGATTGGAGCCGTTTTCCCCTCCTTTATAAAACTAGGCCATATTAAGAATGTCCCGCTGTCCAGGGCCACAGGCCCAAGTTGCCAGGAGCTGAGGTCTGCAGGAGGAGAGTTGTGAGTGAAGAGGAGGGAAAGTTGAATTTGGCCCTTCTGAGCACAAACAATTCTCTTGTTCTGCCTCAGCAGGAGGCTGCAGAATATTTCCCTGCTGTGCAGACTTAAGTAGCTTCAAGGTTAGAAGCTGGTAGGCCTTCTAAACTTCTCAGAGCCCAATTAGCCCTGTGCCCCAAGGCAGGTGGAGTTCTGTGCTGGAAGACCAAGCTCTGAGGCCAGACACTGTGTCTGTCATGCTCATAGCTGCATTTGCTGGCTGCCAGCCTGGCATATGGTAGGTATACATTAAGCGTTTGTTGAGTTTGCTCAAATTGAAATTAAGTCACAGCTGCACCATTTAACTGGCTGTGTGACTTCAGGTAAGTCACATCACCTCTCTGAACATCAGTTTCCTCCTCTGGAAGACGGGGCCGACAGCAGCAGCCCCTACCTCATAAGGGTGTTGGGAGACTTGGAAGAAAGGATGCCTGTGAAGCGCTTAGCCAGGGCCAGCTGGCTCACAGTAGGTGCTCCACAAATGTCAGTACATTACTTCTTTTTCATCAGGCAGCTTGTTAAATTTGTTACGTTTGGCATCTTGTTCAATTTCCCATCCATCCCCTCAAGTATGGATTATTAGAGGTTGAAGCATCTTGCTCAAAGTTAATGGCCAGTAGGTGGCAGAGCTGAGTCCTGAAGCCACAGCCCATCGCACTAACCACCGGCCTACCGAGCCTACAGTTGGTCATGCGCTCTGCTGGGTCTTTTCTATTCCCAGCCCAGAAACTGGGTGTCTGGGGATGCTCCCCAGAGAAAGCTGCATCATTTACCAGCCGTGCGACTGTGGCCAAGTCTCGATTGCTTCGCCATACCTCAGTGTTTCCATTTGCAAAATGGGAACAATGATATTCCTTCCTCCTGGGGTCATGGGGAAGATCAAATATAAAAAGGGCTTGGTGGTGTCTGGCACTTTCTAAGCCTTCAGTGGATGGTGGCAATGGTGGTGAGGATGATGGAGATGAGGGTGATGATGGTGTGCCTCAACCCTTCCTTCCCACAGGCTGGTACCATGCGTGTGGTGGTGATCGGAGCGGGAGTCATCGGGCTGTCCACTGCCCTCTGCATCCATGAGTGCTACCACTCAGTGCTGCAGCCACTGGACATAAAGGTCTATGCGGACCGCTTCACCCCACTCACCACCACTGACGTAGCTGCCGGCTTCTGGCAGCCCTACCTTTCTGACCCCAGCAACCCAAAGGAGGCGTGAGTGAGGGTCACATAGGGTAGCCTGGGGGGCCCATGGGGCTAAGTCTGCAGAGGGGGTCAGGGTTCCCATCACCAAGAGCAAGCCCTTTGTGGAAGCTCTGGTCTAGCATAAGATAAAGAAAATGCCAGGCATGGTGGTTCACGCCTTTAATCCCAGCATTTTGGGAGGTCGAGGTGGGAGGATCACTTGAGGCCAGAAGTTCCAGACCAGCCTGGACAACGTGGCAAAATCCCATCTCTACCAAAAATACAAAAAATTAGCTGGGCATGGTGGCGCACGCCCGTAATCCCAGCTACTGCGGAGGCTGAGGCAGGAAAATCATTTGAGCCCAGGAGGTAAAGGTGGCAGTGAGCTGAGATTCTGCCACTGTACTCTCAACAGAGTGAGACTGTGTCAAAAAGAAAAAAATAAATAAAAGATTCATAAATATTAAGCCCCTTGCTCTGTGCCAGATACTAGGAGGTTTTGTCTCGTCTTCCTGAAACTGGGTGCCTGTCAATGCCACATGGTTGGTGAATCTGGAAAACTTCCTCTTTTTTAGTTTATAAATTTTTATTTTTATTATTATTTTTTTGAGATTGTGTTTCACTCTTGTCGCCCAGGCTGGAGTGCGATGGCATGATCCTGGCTTACTGCATCCTCTGCCTCCTGGGTTCAAGCGATTCTCCTGCCTCAGCTTCCCAGGTTACTGGGATTACAGGCATCTGCCACCACGCCTGGCTAATTTTTGTACTTTTAGTAGAGATGGAGTTTCACCATGTTGGCCAGACTGGTCTCGAACTCCTGACCTCAGGTGATCTGCCTGTCTTGGCCTTCCAAAGTGCTGGGATTACAGGCATGAGCCATCGTGCCTTGCCAAATTTTATTCTTTTTAAATAGAGATAGGGTCTGTCTGTGTCGCCCAGGCTGGTCTTGAACTCCTGGGCTCAAGCGATCTGCCCTCCTCAGCCTCCCAAATTGCTGGGATTACAGGTGTGAGCCCTTGCACCCAGCTGAATCTGGAAAACTTCTAAGTGGGTGAACATCTAAGTGGGTGGATGGATGCACAGATTTATCAAATAAAATGCAAAGGTCATTATGGTAGTTTAGAAACTGCCAGATGCTTCAGCAAATGGAACGCCCAATGAATAGCAGCTCAAACAGATTAAAAAATTGTTTTAGAGGCATCCTGTCACCCAGGCTGAAGTGCAGTGATATGATCATAGCTCATTGCAGCCTTGACCTCCTGGGTTCAAGCAATCCTCCCAACTTAGCCTCCCAAGTAGCTGGGACCCAGGTGCATGTCATCATGCCTGGCTACTTTTCTTTATTTTTTGTAGAGCCAGGTTCTCCCTATGTTACCCAGGCTTGTCTCAAACTCCTGGCCTCAAGTGACCATCCTGCCTCAGCCTCCAGAAGAGCTGGGATTATAGGCATGAGCCAATGTACCCAACCAGAATTTTAATTCACACCTCTGTAAAAAACCAATGTTTCTGATCAGTGCGCAGTGATTCAGGGGCCCAGGCTCCTTCCATCTCATGGCTTTTCCATTTTCCCACATGTTCTGGAGGTCACCTCAATGTCACCATTCACATGGGCCGGTGACTGCAGAAGGATCACGCAGGACCACATGCGCAGAGTCTTTAGAGTCCCTTGGCCAGAAACAAGTCACACGGTCTCATTTAGCTGCAAGAGGGTCTAGGAAATGTAGGTGAGCTGTGTGCCCGGGGGAGGAGGAAAAGTTTGAGGAGCTGCAAGTCGATATCTGCCACCAATGTTTACAAGGAGGGGTGCTTGCAGCCAGCCTGAACAGTGTGGCTCGTAATCCCCAAAGCCAGGTCAAGGCCTTCACTGAAACTCATCAGCCATGTAATCCCGTGCTGGAGGTGCACTCCAAATGGTTATGATGGGCATCCTTCATTCCCTGTCTTCTTTATTCTATTAATGGGGAAATATTGGAAAATTTGGGAGGGAGAAGACCCATGGCATTTGGGGAGTTGCAAGAGTGAACGTGGTGGATTTCTGGGTTTTGGACACACCCCAAACCCCTGATCATGCCACAGCCCCATGCCAGCTGACCTAAGGTTTTTTGCCCAGCTCAGGGCATTGGGTGATCGAACTCTTCATGACCCTTCCAGGAACTGGAGCCAACAGACTTTTGATTATCTCCTGAGCCACATCCATTCTCCCAATGCTGAAAAACTGGGCCTGTTCCTAATCTCAGGCTACAACCTCTTCCATGAAGCCATTCCGGTGGGTGAACACTTCTTGACCGTGAGGGATGATCCCCCAGGGCTGGGGTGGTGAGGGTGAGTGCCGCAGAGCCTTAATCACAGATGAGGGCGGGGTGTTTTGAGTCTCGTAGGCAACAGACTCCTGGGTTCAAAACAGGTTTGGTTTAAATTCTATTTTTGCTTTGAAAATTATTTTTGTTTCAAATTTTGCTGTTCAGTTGGCAGAGGACAAAGAATCTTCTGATGCCCGGGGGAAACTAGCCTTTGATTAGCATGGCTAAAACACAAACATGTTCTGCAGTGACGGGCACTTGGTGCTGAAGCCAAAAGGTTTCATGTGTCCCTGAAGGTCCCAGGGCTTTTTATCAAGAAGAAATAAAATACTTACCATAGCAAAAACTGCCAAAGCATTTATTTTGTGCCAGGCCCAGTCCTAACTCATTTACAGCTAGCCGCTCATTTAATTCTCTTTATAACCAGGAGGTAAGGGCTGTCCTTATCCTCACTTAATAGATGAGAAAAAAGAAGCTCCGAGAAATGGAGTAACTTGCCCAAGGCCACAAAGCTTGCCAGTGGCTGAGCTGGGATTTGAATCCAGGCCATGTGTGACCACATGCTGCCCAATGTGCTCACAGGAACAGCACAGCCCTGGGAGGGTTTGCTCAGGCTGCTTGGAGAGGGTGGTCTGGCTCTGTGCCCAGAGCCCTGTACCAGCTCTTAAAGTTCATTCAACCTTTAGCACTCTGCTAAGGGCTTTATCCACATTATCTGTTACCTTTCATGGGACTAAGAGTATTTTTTTTTTTTTTTGAGACGGGGTCTCGCTGTATTGCCCAGGCTGGAGTGCATTGGCATGATCTCGGCTCACTGCAACCTCCACTTCCTGGTTTCAAACCATTCTCCTGTCTCAGCTTCCTGAGTAGTTGGGATTACAGGCATGCACTACCACGCCTGGCTAATTTTTGTATTTTTAATATAGATGGGGTTTCACCACGATGGCCAGGCTGGTCTCGAACTCCTGACCTCAAGTGATCTGCCTCCCAAAGTGCTGGGATTACAGGTGTGAGCCACTGCACCTGGCCAAGAGTGATTATTAACTCCATGATACAGACAAGGAGACTGAGTCTCAGAGAATTCAAGTAGTAAGTGATGAGGCTGGGGTCTCCGCCCAGGTTGTCTGACACTATGCTCTGTTGCTTTCTCTCATCCCCGGGGACTCTCACTGTTGCCGCTTTCTCTCCCCTATTTCTGACCTTTTCCGTATAACTCACCCTCAGTCTTACTCTTACCCTTACCATAAATAGCGGTTAAGAACATGGACTCTGGAACTGAGCCGTATGGGTTAAAATCCCAACACCACCATTTATTAGCTGTGTGACCTTAGGCGAGTTATTTAATCTTTCTAAGCCTCAGTGGGTCCATCTGTAAACTGGGGAAAGAATAGCATCCACCCCAGTGGCTTCTTGTAAAGGTTAAATGGACCAGTATAAGTAAAGTGCTTGGAACGGTGCCTGATATGCACTTAGCATGACATACGTCTTTGTCATTATCTTTTTTTTTTTTGGGGGGGGGATGAAGTCTCGCTCTTTGGCCCAGGCTGGAGTGCAGTGGCACAGTCTCGGCTCCCTGCAGCCTCCAGCTCCCAGATTCAAGGGATTCTTCTGCCTCAGTCTCCTGAGTATCTAGGATTACAGGCATGCACCACCATACCCTGCTAATTTTTGTATTGTTATTCTTTTTTTTAGTATGGACGGGGTTTCACCACGTTGGCCAGGCTGGTCTGGAGTTCCTGGCCTCAGGTGATCCACCCGTCTCAGCCTCCCAAAGTGCTGGGATTACAGGTGTGAGCCACCACGCCTGGCCCATTATCGTTATTATTGACTTCTATCCCTCCTGGTACCCCCTTTGTCCTTCCTCTTCAGGACCCTTCCTGGAAGGACACAGTTCTGGGATTTCGGAAGCTGACCCCCAGAGAGCTGGATATATTCCCAGATTACAGGTGAGTTTATTGTCATAGTCAAAGGGGACCGGGGCCCCATGAGTTAGACAGACCTGTCCAGAAGGCAGCAGAGGGTAGAGGCACCAGATTTCCTGTGCTACCCAGGTCTTGGTACCCTGGTCTCCTGGTCCTTGGTCCAGCTCCTTCAGAGAGGCTACCCACTCAAACCTGGCCTTGGGCTGGGAAGGTAGGGGGTATGAAATCACAGATCTCAAGTCCGGAGGCTCCATATCACCATCTTGTTTTGTAGATGAAGATATTGAGTTTCAGAGAGGCTAAGTGACTTCCTAAGGTCACACAGCCAAGTGGCCAAACTGGGATTCCAACCCAGTCTGTATGACCCCACACCCCTCCTTTCTTTTCTCTACAGCCTGATGCCTCTCTGGTCTTCTCCTCATCCCACCCCACGCCTGAATCCCCTCTACAAATGCACATTCAATTTCCACTTGCATCTTCCAGTGTCAGAGATGGTCTTGTCTGATAGAACATTTTTCCTTGCATTGAGCTCAAAACCACATCCCCTCCTTGAACTTCACCTAGTGGTCGTGGCACTACCCTTTGGGCCTACAGAACAACATTGCTCCCACCTCCATTTCACAGCCTTCAAATATAGCCCTGATTTTTACCTTTATTTTCAACTTTTGCCTGCGGTGACTCTAGCTATGGCTGGTTCCATACAAGCCTAATTCTGGAGGGAAAGAACTATCTACAGTGGCTGACTGAAAGGTGAGATTTTAAACTCCACTTTGAGGGAGGCACCTCCCAGAGACGAAGTTGTAGTAGAAGATGGTTCGTGGGCTTCCCCCTGCATGGACCAACCCCAGGATTTGAAGAATACCCTTAGGCCTGGTGTGGGAGCTATCCTTGGTCCTGATCACCACTGGGCACAGAGGCAATGGGTCCTGAGCCTAGCTGGGCATCAGAACCACCTGGGCAGCTGTTTACACATGACGTCTATTAACAACCTCTTTTAAATACCTAATATTTGTGTAATAGTTTTAGATGTATTATTTTAAGATTTCCAGATATGTTTGCATCACCTGCAAAACATAAGCTACCTTTTATTTTTATCTACCTCTCTCTTTTTTTCTTCTCTAACTGCTTTGGCCAATACCTCCAGAACAATGTTGCTCATCCAGATGATAGTGGATGTCTTTGACTTGTTCCTCATGTTAATAGGAATCTGGCAGTGTTCTAAATTAGCGAACACTCACTTGAGAGAAACGTTGATATTTATATTCACATACATTCGTATTAAGGGAGATTCCATGTGTGTGTGTGTGTGTGTGTGTGTGTGTGTGTGACGGAGTCTTGCTCTGTCGCCCAGGCTGGAGTGCAGTGGTGCAATCTTGGCCCACCACAAGCTCCACTTCCCGGCTTCACGCCATTCTCCTACCTCAGCCTCCTGAGTAACTGAGACTACAGGCGCCCACCATCACACTTGGCTAATTTTGTTCTTTTTGTATTCTTAGTAGAGACGGGGTTTCACTCTGTTAGCCAGGATGGTCTCCATCCCCTGACCTCGTGATCCGCCTGCCTCGGCCTCCCAAAGTGCTGGGATTACAGGCGTGAGCCACCGTGCCCGGCCGTTTCTAGTGTATTTCTAATTGTGCTAGATGTTTTTGCAATGGGATGTTTAAAGGGAGGGTGGATGTCCTCAGCCCACCTTCCTCCTCATGCCCAGCTTCTGACAAAGGGGAATTTGCCACTGGTACAACTCTCCCCTTCTCTACTCTGAATCTCATCCTCTTTACTGTTACAAAGCAATGTGGTGGTCATAGGAAGTATTGGGGGCTAAGAAGCCTGGGTTTGAGTTCCAACTCCATCACTGACTCACTCTATGGCCTTCAACAAGGCCCTTCCCCAACTCCATCTGCCCAACAAGGGGCTTGGACCATCTCTGGTTTCCCAAGGGAGATTTTTTGGACTACCAGTCCAGCCAGGTGCTCATGAGCTGATTTGACGACACAGCCATCTTCTCAAACAGCATCCTGTGAGACTAATGTCTGCAGAAGGTTCTTTGGGAAAGGTTTCTGTGCTACCCTCTTGGCGGGATGGGACAGAGAAATGAATACTAGGCTTTTTGATGTGTTTGATCATCCCAGGTTAACTGAGAGGGGAGTGAAGTTCTTCCAGCGGAAGGTGGAGTCTTTTGAGGAGGTGAGCTGCAGGGCTGATGTGGTGGGTGGGGGAGGGAGAAGAAGGGAGGCCTCTGCTTCTTGCTGCTGAGTTGGGGGCCCCTTCTCAGGCTCCTAGGGTCCCCACAGGCCTGCCCCAGACCCTTGCCCCAGGAGGACTCCGGTATTCTGAAGGAGGAAGTCTCTGCCTTCATGTTGGTGGTGGGAACAAAGGAACACTGGGATCATGGTGGCCATTAGGAGCTGATTTATATCTGAGACTCGATGAGTTTTGGGGTTAGAGAGCTGGCCGCCTTTTCTTAGTGTCAGCTGCACTCCAAGGTCAGACGCTTGCTTCTTAACCCTACTGACATCTGGGTTGGTCTTTCTGCAAAGTCCAGGCCCTCAGCTGACTTACCTCTAAAGCGACACCACCACCAATAATAATGATAGGAAAAGCCACCATCTCCAGGCACCAGCAACAAGAGCTTTACTGTATGGCTTCATTTGATCCCAGCATCTAGAACCCTGCTTGGCGTATGGAAGGCACTGCATACATGTAGCTACTAGTGCTATGTCATGAGGACTAACCTGCTCTGGGTCGGGCCCTGATGGACACTGGAGATACATGGTCCACCCAATGCAGCCCTCATTCTCAATCATTCACTCAGGAACAATAGTAGCATCTCGCAATGTGTCTGTGCCATGACTGTCTTGTGATGAGAGTCCCTGGGGCTGGGTTGGGGAGCTTAGGGGCTCATCATGCATGCTTGAGATGAGACCGTCTCATCTGTAGACAGAGCTAGGGGTTCCAACGTGTCTTCTGCAAATGTCTTGGCAGACTAGAAGGCAAGAGAATAAAGTTAAAAGGAGTCAAAAGGAGAAAGATAACTATCTCTGCTTCCTTTCTGACTTCTTTCGGGAGGTTCCAGGAAGATTTCCCCCATCCAAAGAACTGCTTTACAACCACTTTTATATCCAGAGTTGTACAGGAGCCTCATAGCAGCCTGTAAACAGGCACGGGCAGCTTCATTTTACAGAGGCAGCTGAGCGTCAAGGAGATAAAGAGCCATTTTCAAGGTCACACATCAGATAAATCGCAGGGTGAAAATTTGGAGCCGGGCCTCTCTGATTTGTCGTTGAGACCTCTCCCTACTGTTCATCAGGGAGTAGACAGATTGAGGGTAGAAGAAAGGGGAAGAGACAACAGGGAATACGAGGATCTTTCCCACCTTTCATCCCCCACTACCCTGTTGGTTGTTACCAGGTGGCAAGAGAAGGCGCAGATGTGATTGTCAACTGCACTGGGGTATGGGCTGGGGCGCTGCAACCAGACCCCCTGCTGCAGCCAGGCCGGGGGCAGATCATTAAGGTGAGTGTGAGGGTGAGACCCCTGCCTTTTGTTGATAGGAAGATCATTCCGCATGCTTAGTCAATTTCTCAAGATCGTGGACAAATCAGGAACATCTGTTAGAGGAGCGCCCCCAGACTGCAGAGAATTGACATGTTAAAATCCAAACTTGTCCCACCCCCATTTGCTCTCTTTCAGGATTTCCTCTTGATCGTGAAGCACACGTGTATGTTCTTGTACCTATGTGGGAGCAGCATATGCCTGTATTGTAATAAAAATAGCAAACATTTATGGAGTGTTTACCAAGCACTGGATATAGGCCTAAGCACTTTATTGTGTTAATTATTATTATTATTATTCTCGAGACAGGGTCTCACTCTGTTGCCCAGGTTAGAGCACAGTATCTTGATCACGGCTCACTGCAGCCTTGACCTCCCAGGCTCCCACCTCAGCCTACTGAGTAGCTAGGACTACAGGAACATGCCACCACGATACCCAGCTCTTTTTTTACATTTTTTGTAGAGACAGGGTTTTACCATATTGCTCAGGCTGGTCTCAAACTCCTGGGCTCAAGGGATCCCCCCACCTTGGCCTGTCAAAATGCTGGGATTACAGGCGTGAACCGCCACGCTCAGCCTATTTTGTTAATTAATTTAGTGATGGCCACAGCCCTTTGAGCTGGGTACTACCATATCGTCATTGCCATCTTACAGATGAAGAAACTGAGGCAAAGAGGATTTAAGTAACAGGCACAAGTTCACACGGTAGTAAGAAGTGGAATTGGGATTGGAAGCCAGGCAACCTGGCTTAAAAGCCTGTGCGTGCAAGCATTGTTCCATGCCTCCTCTTGCTGTGTGTGTGCATGTGCATGAGGGTATGTGTGTGTGCATGTATGTGAGTGTGCATGTATGTGGTGTGTGTGTGCATATGTGTGTGGGTGTGTGAGGGTGTGTGCGCATGTTTGTGAGGGTGTGTGTATGTGTGTGAGGGTGTGTGTGCATTTGTGTGAGGGGTGTGTGTGTATGTGTGAGGAGGGTGTGTGCATGTATGTGAGGGTGTGTGTGTGCATGTGTGTGAGGGTGTGAGCATATATGTGAGGATGTGTGTGTGCATGTGAGGGGTGTGTGTGCATGTGTGTGAGGGTGTGTGCATGCGCATGTGTGAGGGTGTGTGCATGTATGTGAGGGTGTGTGTGCATGTGTGCGAGATGTGTGTGTGTATGTGTGTGTGCATGTGTGTGAGGGGTGTGTGTGCATGTGTGCAAGGGGTGTGTGTGCATGTGTGTGAGTGTGCATGTATGTGAGGGGTGTGTGTCCATGTGTGCGAGGGGTGTGTGTGTGCATGTGTGTGAGGGTATATACCTGTATGTGAGGGAGTGTGTCCATGTGTGTGAGGGGTGTATGTATGCATGTGTGTCAGGGTGTGTGCATGTGTGAGGGGTGTGTGTGCATGTGTGTGAGGGGTGTGTGTGCATGTGTGTGAGGGTGTGTGCATGCATGTGAGGCTGTGTGTGTGCATGTGTGTGAGGGGTGTGTATGCATGTGTGTGAGGGTGTGTGCATGTGTGTGAGGTATGTGTGTGCATGTGTGTGAGGATGTGTGCATGTGTGTGGGGTGTGTGTGCATGTGTGCAAGGGGTGTGTGAATGTGTGTGAGGGTGTGTGCATGTGTGTGAGGGTGTGTGTGCATGTGTGTGAGGGGGTGTGTGCATGTGTGCGAAGGGTGTGTGTGTGTGCATGTGTGTGAGGGTGTGCATGTATGTGAGGGTGTGTGTGCATGTGTGTGAGGGGTGTGTGCGCCTATGTGTGTGAAGGTGTAGTGCATGTACGTAAGGGTATGTGTGTGCATGCATGTGAGGGTATGTGTGCATGTGTGTGAGGATGTGTGTGCATGTATATGAGGGTGTATGTACGTGTGTGATGGTGTGTGCATGTATGTGAGGATGTGTGCATGTGTGTGAGGGTACGTGTGTACATGTGTGTGATGGTGTGTGTGGGCATGTATGTGAGGGTGTGGGTGTGTGCATGTGTGCGAGGGGTGTGTGTGAATGTGTTTGAGGGTGTGTGCATGTATGTAAGGGTATGTATGTGCATGCATGTGAGGGTGTGTGTGTGTGCATATGTGTGAGGGTGTGTGTGCATGTATATGAGGGTGTATGTACGTGTGTGATGATGTGTGCATATATGTGAGGGTGTGTGCATGTGTGTGAGGGTATGTGTGCATATGATGGTGTGTGTGTGCGTGTGTGAGGGTGTGTGTGCATGTGCACCTGTGAGTGTTCATAGGAGTGCACGTGTGTATGCTTATGTGTGTAGGGGTGCATGCGTGTGTTCCTAATGTGGGCTGATGGGTGTGACAACCAAAATGAGTGACTGAGGCATACGTCTGAAATCATCAAAGTTTATGGAACCAGCTTGAAGGCACGCCCAGGAAAAATGCGAGTCACAGATGCACCTGTGGCTCTTTTTTCCAAAGAGATTCTTGGGAGATTTAGTCTTTATATGTTTTCTTTTTTAAAAAAGCAGGAGAAGGGTGCAGCTGTGAGAGAATGATTACATACTTGTGAGACTTTAGTTAGTGCCCAGTAAATCTACATTTTACATAAGATAAGATGAAGGTTTGGGCCAGGCGCAGTGGCTCACGCCTGTAATCCCAGCACTTTGGGAGGCCGAGGCAGGTGGATCACAAGGTCAGGAGTTCGAGACCAGCCTGGCCAATATGGTGAAACCCCATCTCTACTACAAATACAAAAAATTAGCCGGGTGTGGTGGCAGGCGCTTGTAATGCCAGCTACTTGGGAGGCTGAGGCAGGAGAATCACTTGAACCTGGGAGGCGGAGGTTGCAGTGAGCCAAGACTGCACTCCAGCCTGGGCAACAGAGCAAGACTCCGTTTCAAAAAAAAAAAAAAAAAATAGAAAGTTTGAAGAAAAAAGGAATGGAGGAAGTTCTGTACCTGGGAAGATAAGCTGGTCAATGACATCATCAGTGTGGAGTCTGTTGAAAGGGCTGGTTTCTGCTTACCACTTAGGGAAGAAAGCCTGACTTTGGCCAGGTCATTGAGGGAGGGGATATAATGAGGCACATTAGACCTCCCATCCCACCGCGGCTGTGAACTCAGCTCCAGGGTTTCTCTGGGGCTCCTAGGGCCAAGAGGGGGTCTGTTCATTCAGTTGGGGGCTTAGAATTTTATTTTTATTTCTCATGTGTATGCATTTACATGTGTGTACTGGTGCTTTTCTTCAGACATGTGGGTGAGGAGACACAATGCTTCAGGGAGCAGGGGTGGCTGCCAATCAGGGCAGCTCTTCCTGCAAGAGGCAAACAGCCAGGTGCACACTTGGGCCATAGCGTCATGAGAGGTCTTATAAGGAATCAGACCTGACTCTTGTCAGGTCATCTGGCCACAGAGGGGAGCAAGGACAGCCGTACTGACTCACCTCTGCTGATGAGACTTTCCTGCTTTGAATCAACAGGTGGATGCCCCTTGGATAAAGCATTTCATTCTCACCCATGAGCCAGAGAGCGGCATCTACAATTCCCCGTACATCATCCCAGGGTAAAATCGGACTGTTCTCGGGCAGAAGAGGCGTCCCCTTCACGCCCTCTTCATGCCCCTGCTGCCTGCCCCAGGCTCCTTACTGCCCACAGTTGTTCCCTTTCAGTGTTTTAACGTATTTATTTATTTATTATTATTTTTTGAGACAGAGTTTCCCTCTTGTTGCCCATGCTGGAGTGCAATGGCGCAATCTTGGCTCACTGCAACCCCTGCCTCCCGGGTTCAAGCAATTCTCCTGCCTCAGCCTTCCAAGTAGCTGAGATTACAGATGCCCACCACCATGCCCAGCTAATTTTTTGTATTTTTAGTAGAAACGGGGTTTCACCATGTTGGCCAGGCCTGTCTTGAACTCCTGACTCAGGTGATCCACCCACCCTTGCCTCCCAAAGTGCTGGGATTACAGGCGTGAGCCACTGTGCCCGGACCCTTTCAATGTTTTTAAAGTGAGTTTGAACTACTGAATCCCTGGGAAGGCAGACTCAGCCTTGACTGAGGTCTACCATGAACATTCTTTTGGATGACAATAGTGGTGATGCTGAAGATAAAGGCAGTGGATGTAATGCGGCGACACTAAAAGTGGTATGTAGGTGGCTCATGCCTGTAATCCCAGCACTTTGGGAGGCCAATGTGGGAGGATTGCTTGAGCCCAGGAGTTCAAGACCAACCTGGGCAACATGGCGAAATCCCATCTCTACAAAAATTGGCCAGGCATGATGGTGTATGCCTGTGGTCCCAGCTATTCAGGAGGCTGAGATGGGAGGATTGCTTGAGCCTGGGAGGTTGAGGATACAGTGAGCCATGATCACACCACTGCACTCCAGCTTGGGCCACAGAGCAAGACTCCGTCTCCAAAAAAAAAAAAAAACAAAACAAAAACGTGGTGTGAATGGCAATAATGGGAGTGGGAATGGGAATGGTGATTGGGGTTGATGGTGGTGGTAATGTTAATGGTGGAGATGACAATGTCACCGAAACCAGTGGTGATGTTTGTGGGATGACAATATTGTTGATAGCGGAATGGTGGTAGTAGGGATAATATTGTAGTGATGGGAAAGACAGCATTCATGGGGGTGGTGATTGGCATAAGAGTGGTAGAGTGGTGATGTTAATGGAGGTGGTCTGGTGCTGATGAGGAGATCAGTACTGATGAAGGTGTGATTGGGAGTCGGGATGGTAGTTGGTGCTGATGGAAATGACACTATCAATGATATTAATATGTAGCAGAGCTGACAATCTCAAAGGCAATGTTAATAACATGGTTGCACCAACCATGTGGTCTCAATGGCAGTGTTACTGGTGTCATGGAAATGACAATATCAATGGCAATGTTAGTGGTGGTGGTGAAATGATGAATGCCGTTGGTGGTGATGACCTATTAATGATAGTAGTGAAGACAATGTTGTCGATGGAGATGACAACACTGATGGAAGTGGTGATGGAAGAGTTCATGGTTGGTGTTGATGGCGATGACAGTGACAATTGAGTTAGTGATGGTGGTGTTGTTAGCAGAGGTGACAAGGTTGATGGTAATGACCTTATTCATCTCACAGCCTTCATTTTCCTTGATCCTTGACCCTCCTCATTTGTATCTAGGACCCAGACAGTTACTCTTGGAGGCATCTTCCAGCTGGGAAACTGGAATGAGCTAAACAATATCCAGGACCACAACACCATTTGGGAAGGCTGCTGCAGACTGGAGCCCACTCTGAAGGTAAGGTAGGGAAGAGTAGCAGTGCCCTAGACCAAGGTCCTGGGAGCTTGTTAATGAGGACACTTCAGGATGGGAAGATGCCACCGCTGGGATAATTGGGCAAATTAATTCCAGCAAGGGATGTGGAATATAACAGAACTTGACAATGTACAGGGAAGTTCTTGCTATGGGCTAATGAATCCTGTCTGGTCATGGCTGGGAGCCCTTGGCTTTCACGTTTGTCTGCGAGTGATGATGACAGTAGTGACGGTGATGAGGATGAGTTGGTATTGATGGTGAGGAAAATGCTGAGAATGGTAATAATGATGGTGATAAGATGGTGACTATTGTTAGAATTATGGTGGTGGCTGATGGTGAGGGTGGTGGTTGATGATGGAATTGGTGGAGAGGTAGAAGCAATAATGGTAATGATGTTGGTAGCTGATAAAGATGGTGTTGGTGGTAGTGGTGATTGATAAAGGTGACTGTGATTATATTAGTGTTGGTGGTGATGAGATTCTATAAACTACTTACTACCTAAAAATGGCCGCAGGAAAAAAAAATCCAGAAATGAGTGATCAGCACGTTTCTTTCCAGAATGCAAGAATTGTTGATGAACGAACTGGCTTCCGGCCAGTACGCCCCGAGATTCGGCTAGAAAGAGAACAGCTTCGCGTTGGACCTTCAAACACAGAGGTATGCTCCCACGGCAAGGAAAGTAATGCCCTCCTCCACTCCTTAGGTGGCTCTGGCATTTTCATGAAACAGTCGTGTCTGATCTCAGGTTCCACACAGGCTCCCTGGCAGGCAGGGGCAGTGGTGGCTAATATCCCCTCTGCTATAAATGGGGAAACTGAGGCTCAGTGATGGTTAAGGACCTGCTCAAGGTTACATAGGGGGGCAGTGGTGATGTTAATGGAGGTGGTGCTGATGAGATCAATGTTGATAATGGTGTGATTGGGAGTGGGGATGGTAGTTGGTGCTGATGGAAATGACACTACCAAGGATGTTAATACCTCAGCAGAGGTGACAATCTCAAAGGCAGTGTTAACATGGCTGCACCAACTGTCTCAGTGGTGATATTAATGGTGTGGCAGATATGACAGTATCAATGGCAGTGTTAATGGTGGTGGTGAAATGGTGAATGGGGTTGGTTTTCTAAAGTCTGTGGTCAAATAGCAGGAAAATGTGTGCTTACTGGATGTGTACTTCATGTCACACACAGCAGCAAGTCCATTACATGAATGACCTTATTAAATCTCCTCTGGAGCTCTTTGGGATAGGGACAGTTCTCCCTATGCTTCAGATGAGGAAACTGGGGTGAATTAAGAGGTGAAGTCACTTGCCCAAGTCAGACCACTGGTGGAGGGCAGGGCTGGGATGTGATTTGAATTTGACTCTGAGGCTATTTTCCAGATATCCATTTTGTGGCTGCCCCATCATCTCTTGCTACTGTCCCAGGGGGTCCCCACCATTCCCCCTGGGTGCCAAAAGAAACTCTGGTGGCATCTGGCTTTGCCCAGGACTCTTCAGGAGGCTCCTGAGTCTTCCAGGGCAGAAGAGCTTCATCTATTCTTTCCACTGTCCCTCTCGGACCTGGCCACCTTCTCTCTTGCTTCTCCTAGGTCATCCACAACTATGGCCATGGAGGCTATGGGCTCACCATCCACTGGGGATGTGCTCTGGAGGCAGCCAAGCTCTTTGGGAGAATCCTGGAAGAAAAGAAGTTGTCCAAAATGCCACCATCCCACCTCTGAAGACTCCAGTGACTGCTGCTTCCCCCACAAGAACTCCCTTCTCCCCTCAGCCAACAAATCAATGTGCTTCTTCATAAGCCATTGCTTATCCCTCACTTCTTTCCTCAAAGAAGCATGAAGTGAGAGAAAGCTATAAAGTCAGTGCCTGGAGAAGGGTTCAGCCCAACATGGGGCCCCTCTCATCACCGAAATCCCTCTACCTTCTCTGGATCTGGCATTATAAAGAACAGCTGGGGGCTGTTATTCCATGAGTCTTCAGAAGAAAGGACAGCTCAGAAAATCAAAGAGGCCAACTGCCCAGAGCCACAGAAAATTGAGGATAATTGAGACTAAGTAACATGATTACAAGTTGTACTAACATATTAAAGGTTCTGAAAAGTCCTGCAGCAAAGACAACTATCTGATGTTGTTTAACCCAGTGCTTGCTAAACCTATCTGGCTGTGGAACACTTTTGCCCAGAGCACCCATGAATGCCATGAAACAAATTTGAGAAAACGCTAGAACAGATGTTGTTTTATCTGTTGTATTTGTTGTAGGAGGTTAGACATACAACTTGGGCGTGGAGGAGGCAGAGAGGTGAGGCACTGAACTAGTAACACATGGTGTTTCCTCCACATCCAGAATTCCAAATGGCATCAGCTATTCACCAGGTGGCCCCATGGGCACCACGTAACCTTTGAGGAGGGGCCACTGAAGGGATCATCCCACAAGGAACCCCTTCATAGAGAACTGTTTTAGTTCGTTTTCTGTTGCTTATAACAGAATACCTGAAACTGGGGAATTCTTTTTTTTTGAGACAGGATCTCGCTCTGTCACCCAGGCTGGAATGCAATGGCATGATTTTGGCTCACTGCAACCTCTGCCTCCCAGGTTCAAATGATCCTCCCTCCTCAGCCACCCGAGTAGCTGGGACTACAGGCACTTGCTACCATGTCCGGCTAATTTGTGTGTGTGTGTGTGTGTGTGCGTGCACGTATGTGTGTTTTGTAGAGACGGAGTTTGGCCATATTGTCCAGGTTGGCGTTGAACTCCTGGGCCCAAGTGATCCTCCTGCCTTGGCCTCCCAAAGTGGTGGGATTATAGACATGAGCCAGCACACCTGGCCGAAACTGTGGAGTTTATAGAGAAAAGGAATTTATTTCTTACAGTTATAGAGTCTGAGAAGTCCAAGATTGAGGGACCACATCTGGTGAGAACCTTCTCTCCGGCTGGTACAGAGGTGGGGACTCTCTGCAGAGTCCCAAGGAGGCTCAGGGCATCACGTGGTGAGGGGGCTGATTGTGCTAACATGCTAGTTCAGCTCTTTCCCTTGTCTTAGAAAGCCACCAGTTTCCTTCCCAAGATGACCCACTAATCCATTAACCTAATAACCCATTAATTGATAAATGGATTAATCCATTTATGAGAGCAGTGCTCTTAGGATCCAATCACCTCTTAAAGGCACCACCTCTCCAAACCACCACATTCAGGACTCAGTTTCAACGTGAGTTTTGGCAGGGACATTTAAGCAATAGCAAGAACTAAACTCACCAAGCATGCTCCTTGTTTGGGGGGCAATTTAACATCTCTCTTGTCTTTCGGCTGGCACCCTCTGAAATGACAAACAAGCTCCCAGGTGTTTTTGAAAGCCTTAAATGAGCCGAGGAGACCCCTTAGCATCTTCATCCCTAATTATCAGCCTCAGCCTCCAAGGCTGAATTTTCACCTGTCTGGGTTTCGGTGAAAGGCCAGAGCCTAGGAAGCCTCATGCATCTTGGCCCAGGAGTCCCCTGTGTGCTGTGAAGAGGTCTCAGTTGGCCCTTGCCATGCCATGCCATTTCCATGAGGGTTGTTTCATGAAGCATCTGCCATGGCGCTGACCAGGCCTAGGCTAAGTAGGGTGAGAGAGCCGAGATTTAAGGTAGACGTCCGTCCTAACAACAACAACAACAACAACAACAGTTATTATTATTATTTTGAGACGGAGTCTCACTCTGTCACCCAGGCTGGAGTCTAGTGGCTCAATCTCAGCTCACTGTAAACTTCGCCTCCCGGATTCAAGCAATTCTCAGCCTCAGCCTCCAGAGTAGCTGGGATGACAGGTGCCCACCAACATGCCTGGCTAATTTTTGTATTTTAGTAGAGACGGGGTTTCACCATCTTGGCTAGGCTGGTCGTGAACTCCTGACCTCGTGATCCACCTGCCTCAGCCTCCCAAAGTGGTGGGATCACAGGCATGAGTCACCCCGTCCAGCCAGTAATTATTATTATAGCTAAAACTTAATATATTCAATCTGGGTACCATACTTTGTGCTGAACTCTTACAAAATATTGCTCATTTAATCCTTACACATGCCTCATAAGGTAGCTATTATCCCATTTCATAGGTGAGAAGACTGAGGCACAGAAAGGCAGCCTGGCTGGGTGCGGTGGCTCATGCCTGTAATCCCAGCACTTTGGGAAGCCGAGGAAGGTAGATCACTTGAGGTCAGGAGTTCGACACAAGCCTGACCAACACGGTGAAACCCTGTTTCTACTAAAAATAAAAACATTAGCCAGGCGTGGTGGCAGGTGCCTGTAATCCCAGCTACTCTGGAGGCTGAGGCAGGAAAATCGCTTGAACCCAGGAGGTGGAGGTTGCAGTAAGCCGAGATCATGCCACTGCACTCCAGCCTGGGTGACACAGTGAGTTTCTGTCAAAAAAAAAAAAAGAAAAAAGAAAAAAGAAAAGAAAAGAAAAGAAGAAAGAAAAAGAAGAAAAGAAAGAAAAAAAGAGAGAGACAGAAAGAAAGAGAGAGAAAGAAAAGAAAAAGAAAAAAAAGAAAGAATGAAAGAAAAAGAAAGAGAAAGAAAGAAGAAAGAAAGAAGGAAAGAAAGGAAAGAAAGAAAGAGAAAAGAAAAGAAAAGAACGAGGCAGCCTGAAGTCAATAGCTGGGATGGGATAGAATGGAGATTCTGGCTCAGAAACTATGCGATTCCAGTGCTTCATTTTCTTTCCCCGCCCCCGATGGAGTCTTGCTCTTTCGACCAGGCTGGAGTGCAGTGGTGTGATCTTGACTCATTGCATCCTCCACCTCCTGGGTTCAAGCAATTGTCCTGCCTCAGCCTCACAGGTAGCTGGGATTACAGGCACACACTACCATGCCCGGCTAATTTTTGTGTTTTTAGTAGAGACGGGGTTTCACCATGTTGGTCAGGCTGGTCTCAAACTCCTGACCTTGTGATCTGCCCACCTCGGCCTCCCAAGTGCTGGGATTACAGGTGTGAGCCACCACACCAGGCCCAGTGCTTCACTTTCAACTACCACACAAGACTGAATCCAAATTGTGGAGGGGGTAGGGTGTGGGGTGGTGGAGGGGTGGGGAATATGTAGATGTGAAGGGATGGGTTGGGCCTCTTCCTCAACTCTCTCTGTAAGCACACTGGGAAGGAACTAGCTCTCTCTTCCTCATAGCTACATTTGGGCCAAGATGAGAGGACTCTGACAAGGCTCCCAGGGCAAGGGCACTTCCTGGTGCTTGGAGTAAGACCCAGCATTTAGTTTTTGACCAATGTGATTTCTTTACCCAACCTAAAAGTCTGTAGGACAGGGGTCCCCAAGGGCAGGGGTCCCCAATCCCCAGGCCGTGGACTGATAATGGTCTGTGGCCTGTTAGGAACTGGGCTGCACAGCAGGACGGGGCGGTGGGTGAGCGAGCGTTACCGCATGAGCTCCGCCTCCTGTGAGCTCAGCAGCATAGGAGTGCAAACCCTGTTGTGAACTGTGCATGCGAGGGATCTAGGTTGTGTGCTCCTTATGAGAATTTGTTGTTTTTTTGTTTTTTTGTTTTGTTTTGTTTTGTTTTTTTGAGACTGAGTCTGGTTCTTTCGCCCAGGCTGGAGTGCAGTGGCTTCATCTCGGCTTACTGAACCCTCCGCCTCCTGGGTTCAAGTGATTTTCCTGCCTCAGCCTCTCAAGTAACTGGGACTACAGTTGTGTGCCACCACACCTGGCTAATTTTTGTATTTTTAGTAGAGGCAGGTCTTTACCATATTGGCCAGGCTGTTCTTGAACTCCTGACCTCAAGTGATCCACCCACGTTGGCCTCCCAAAGTGCTGGGATTACAGGCATGAGCCACCACCCTCGGCCCCTTATGAGAAATCTAATGCCTGAATTACCACTGCCCCCCACAGCACCCCATCTGTGGAAACATTGTCTTCCACAAAACTGGTCCCTGGTGCCAAAAACTTTAGGGACACCTGGTCTAGGGAGAATGATCCCTACCTGCCAGCCAAGGCTAGCCGTCAGTAGAAATCCTATAGGACTGAGTATATAGTGAACTCTCAAAATTGTATGGGGACAGGAGACTCCACATTCAGACCCAAAATGACCGTCTTGTTCTTTCTGCAAATGGTAAGAACCTCCTTGAAAATGTATCCTAAAATTAAGAATAGAAGGACCATGGGGAAATCCTGCATCCCACATAGTTCTGTAGATTTTGTAGTGGTTGATTTCTATACAGGAAGTCTTCACTTAACATCGTTGCTAAAAAGTTAGCGGGGCATGGTGGTGCACACCTGTAATCCCAGCAACTAGGTAGGCTGAGGCACAAGAATTGCTTGAACCCAAGAGGTGGAGGTTGCAGTGAGCCTAGACCACACCACTGCACTCCAGCCTGGGTGACAGAGCGAGACTCTGTCTCCTAAAAAATTAATTAAAATAAAATAAAAATGGGAATGAACATCACATGCACATCTTTGGGGTGTGGGAGGAAACCGGATACCTTGAGAACACCCTTGCAGACGTGGAGAGAACGTGCAAGCTCCACACAGACAGTGGGCCCTGCCAGAATTGATTTTTTTTTTTTCTCATCAAGGTTGTAACGAAATAACTGTTATTCGAGGATATGTTATACTTTTCCTTTGCCTAACACTGCTACTTCTGTCCTGAAGGCAATTTGCAACCAGATTTTCAGTGAATTCTTGGCAGCTTGATGAATTTAGAAAAGGCTATTCTTTCCTCATTGAATCGTCTTGGCATCTTTGTGGAAAATCAGTTGACTGTAAATGTATGGGTTTGGTCAGGCACAGTGGCTCATGCCTCTAATCCCAACACTGGGAGAGCTAGGTGGGCGGATCACTTGAGCTCAGGAATTCGAGACCACCCTGGGCAACATGGCGAAACCCTGTCTCTACCAAAAATACAAAAATTAGCTGGGCATGGTGGTGCGCACCTTTGGTCCCAGCTACTTGGGAGGCTGAGGTGGGAGGATCGTTGGAGTCCGGGAAGTCGAGGCTGCAGTGAGCTGTGATCGTGCCACTGCACTCCAGTCTGGATGACAGAGCAAGATGCTGTCTCCATAATAAAAATAAAAATAAATATATGGGTTTATTTTTGGACCCTATTCCATGGATCTATCTTATGCTAGTACCACACTG